AAGGACAGGAGGGGGTGCATTTGTGAGGAAATGCCTCCTCATCCAGCCCTTGGGAGTGGGCAGAGGAGCAGAGAAGAGGAACCCACACAGACAAAGGTGTTCTACTGTGAATAACAGCTTATGAGCTCTTCAATCCATTATGTTAGTGGAGTAATTCATGGTCTGACCCCAATGAGTATAAACCACAAAAGGAGTCCAGTGACTCCTGGGAGGAGTTGGGGTCACCAGCCAGGTCATTTAATGAGTTTAAATGCAGTCTCTGAATCAAGAATATCTTCTGACTGCCAGGAGCAAGGAGGTAAGAGCAAGGAACAGCTTACAGTTCAACTCCCCTGTTTCCAATGCTCTTTCCCAAATTAATTTTTACTGATCCCCACAGGGACTGATTCCCAGCCTCAATGGCACATTGGTCTGAGTGAACATGGAAGTTCTTATGTCTTTATGTTTCAATCTCAATCTTTAACTCTGTGGTGAGTGAATTCCTGCAACTTCTCTTTATTCCATCCATCCTCAGACTATGCACAAAGGAAGAGCTAGCAGAAGAGTCCAGCCAAAGCTTTGACCAGTGATTTTGGTCTGAAAAGGATTAGAGTAGGAAGGAAATAATTAATTCCTCCTCAGTGGAAGCCCGTAGCCTCAGTCTGTGGTGTCTTGTGATGTGCCAGCCTTCAGGATCTCTGGGGTGGTGATTTGTGCTGCTGTTCTTGCACCATTCAGCACACATCAAGGCTTGTAAAACAAGTGGAAATGGCATAAGTGATGTTACCTGACATGAAGATGAATAGGAAACCTTCTGTTATCGGATCCTTTGGGCTGGGGAACTCTGAATGGCTCTGTAAATCACAATTCCTTCCCAGCAGTGCTGTAATTGTGTCTGAAGCAGCACCCAGTCCCCTCAGCTCCCATCTCTCCCCTCTCCCACGTGCCTCTTCCCCTCTTATCTCTGTGCTCTCATTTTCTTCATGTTGCCACTACCACCACCCCCAGATTGTGATATCCCCCTCCTGAGGTAACCTCAAATTTCTTAGCTTCTGGGGTTTGAGGGAATTCATTCATACCAACCCCTGTGCCTCCAGAAAAGCTCAGTTCACTAACTTATAACACAGCTTGATGTGTTTTAAACTCCACCTCCTGCCAGTAGCAGTGTGATAAAAATGTTCTTTTTCTGTGCTGCCTGTGAGGGCAGTTATTGCTGTTCCTGGAGCACAGGCTTGGTTACTTTTCCACTCCACAGAGCAAAGCCAATAATTAATCAAGGAGAAAGGAATTGTGGGCTCATTGTCATAGAAGACTGATACGGGTGTTTTAAGTTTTCAAAATGGGACAGGTCATTTTCATGAATAACAGGAGTATTTACATTTAAATTAAGGCTCATAAATTTAAGCTACCTTCTATCTACAAAGAGCCAGGAAAATACCTGTGGAGGATAAATGACTCCTGTGAGTATTCTGAGGTTTTTTTCCTCAGGCTTTGAGATGAATGAGTATGACAAGGTCACCTTTGTCCTTTCAGCAAACATTAGCTGTGCTGCAGGTCTCCTATTGTTCAGCACTTTCGTTGCCCAGTTTGGGAAATGTCCTTCATTCAGTGCCCACCTCAGACTCCAGCCTGGCTGCAGAGATGAATTCTGTGCACAGGGTGAGCCCCTGAGCCCAGCAGAGCAGTCTCATGTGAGTAAAGCCTGGAATGAAGAGACCCTTTCCTCAGTCCCCCTCCAGATGCTTCACTCCTACTAAATTACAATAATTCCACCCACCAGCAGTGCCTGAAAATGAGAGCAGCTTTCTCAGGTGGCTGCCAAGAGATTATTCCCCTGTTCCATCAACTGCAGCCCTGCACTGCTGTGCCCTGCAGCCTCCACACACTTTATTATCCTGCAGATTCTCCCTCCCCACTACAAACCTGACACAGTTTTTTCTCGAGCTTTCTCTGTCCTTGGCTGTGAATTGCATTACTGCCACTGTGATTTCTGTGCTGGGGGTAGTTAGGAGACAGAACCATGGGCTCTGGGCTTGTTGTGAACAATAACAAACTTTCAGGGTCCAGATGGGACTCTTATTAAAAGAAAATGAAAGAGAAAAACAAAACAAAACAGAAAAAAAAAGGAAAAGGTTAAAACCATTCTGTGCCTGGGGTCACATCACTGCCTGAGTTATTTAAGAAAATCTGGGACACTTTCAGACATCTCTCAGATTATCTTTCATGGCTCTGTTAGCCCCAAAGATAGGAAGCTTTTTAGCAGGTGAAAGCACCTATTTACCATCCAAACCACACACCCAGTGTCTCCAAAAGGGAAGGAGGCAGTGGTGTGAGGGTACTCATACCCAAAATATGGCTTTTGCTAAAGGCAGTGACACAGGAGAGCCAACTGTCCCTGCTTCATGTCCAAAGCTTCAGTGTGGTCAATTCCAGCTGCTGGCCACATTTATACTTAACTTAATTTTACAGCAGGAACACCTTCCCTCAACAAATGGGGCTTTATGAAAACAAGAAGTGTTTTGATAATTATCTATTAAGATTGAGGGTTTCCAACACAGACCAGACACTCTTGCTCTGGGTCCTGCACAGACATCACTAAAAGTCTGAAGGATGCAGACTGATGGGCAAAGAATAAAAGCCAAGAAGCAGGAACCAAGAAGCAGTAAGGAGGGCAGAGATCATGTAGGCACTAGATAAAAACATAGAACCATAGAGCTGTTAAGGCTGGAAAACACCTTTGAGATCCTCAAGTCCACTGAGTTTGTCTTAAGACAAAGAAGACAGTGTGGCTTTGATGGCTGGGATTTTCCTGGGGGAAAAACTCTTGTTTATGAACCGAAAATCTACAACTCTTTATTTGATGCTGTTTGCCTGTGTGTCCAGCCCAATGTCCTGCTGTAAATCTTGTGACATTAAGATTTCCCCTAGCCAGATTTAGTGATGTTCCAGCATATGGAATGATTAAACTAAAAAATATCTAAATCCATCTATATCTAAATGGGTGCCTGCAGCAAGGATTTTTTTCCCCCCCACTGCTTTATCTTAACTTTGCCAAGAAATACATTCAGGTGGCAAGTGTGCCAGATCTGTTTTGTTGTTAGAACTCTCAAAAGCAATTAATTTCATCTCAATAACTCACAGTTTGACCTGAATTTCCTTAGTTTTAGTCCCTCCCTCCTTCTCTCCCTAGAAGCAATGTTTCAAACTCATCCTTTCATTTGCTAATCCTTGACCTGGAGGGAGTGAATGTAGGTGAAGAGCAGCTGCAGGACATTTATGTGCAGGATGATGCCCAGAGCACAGCCCAGAGTAGGATGTTTCAGAGCCAGGTGGTCTCCTGGGGCTCAGCATGGGCAGCTTGGTTGCCTCATTTCTTTGGAAACCAAACCCTGAACCTCAGCCTTTTGTTAGAAGTGAAATTCTCAAAGTGAGACGGGTCTGACACGTCCATGAGCAGCGTTTTAGAGTTTGTAGCTTAAATAAAAGAGAAAGGGTCTAAAAGACAAAGCAGCTGGAGATTTGTTCTCCAGATTAACTCATCATGAGTCACTGAGGCTCTCAAACCAAATACCAATTTCATTCTGGCAGCCTGAGTTGTTACAATCAGAGGTTGTTTTAACATTGGCTTATCAGGGTTATACCTCTGAGTGTCTCTCTGCATCTCATACGTGGGAGGTCTTCTGTTTGTTTTTTTTGCTAAATTGCTTGAAATCTCTGAGAGATTTGTGAGGCTGAAGGACATAACAGAATTGCTTCTGGCCCTAAGACTGACTAATTTAGTCCTAGGAAAAATACAGTGAATGTTTTATGGTAGGAAGATAGTGTTTGTTGTTAAGAAGAGTGGCTTTTTTGCCGTGCAAAAGACTTGAGGCAACAAAAAGTTGGTTACTGGATTGTGACTCTCTTTTGCTATCCCTGGGGTGAGATCAGTCAGTTCTAGCTGAGCAGCTTTGAGCCACTTTCTGTGTTTGTCCCACGTTATCTGGCAGCTTCCTGGTAAGCAGGGAGCCTGATACAACCACTGCCAAATCCCAGGAAGTGCTGTAGCTGTTTGAACCCCTGTGGAAGTGATTTTCATAAATGGAGTGGTTTGCTTTTAGCTGAGAAAAGGTCATTTAATTGAAGATTCTGTAACTGCAATGCTGCAGCTTGGCACTTGTCATCCTTTACCAGTTCACAAAGAATTAGAAGAGAAATGTTCTGGTGTGAAATGACTGAACCTGTCACGAGTGACTCTGTCTTGCTTCAGTGATGCTTTGTTTTCTGGCAATAGCATCATGTCCCAAATGCCTCCTGGAACCATTTCCAGTAGCAAGTCTATTTCAGATGTGCCCTCTTTTGTTTTATGGCACTGTGTCCCAGCTTACTGTAGCTCATCTTTTACATTGTGCTCATAATTTACATTGCACCTGAATGGGGGCTGGGGAGGGACTAAAACCAGACACAAATATTTCCTGATGTAGGAGGATGTGCAGCTCTGCCTTGTTTAAGGTACAGCCAGCTAAGCCCAGGATTGAAAAGCAGGCTCTTCATGCTCTCCTGTTGCATTAATTCAAACTCACGCAGATGAGCCTGTTCAAGAATTAACCAAATGTAAACTACTCCAGCTTTGCCACTCCAGCATAAATACGTGTCACTAATTCTCCTTCTGTGAGCAGCTCAGCAGCCTCCAGGGCAGCTTGGTTGTTCAGAGGCTTTTCTATCCATTCCAGTTGTTCTAGAGATGGAGGGAAGGGGAGAAAAACTAATAACCAAGGATGAAATGACCATTTGAATGTTTGATTTTTTTTCCCCAGTAGATCCTGTTACACTTGCTTGAATTGATTCAATTGTGTTGTCAGGACAAATTGTTGTACTTGGCTTTGCAAAAACACAAACCTCCTGTTTCACAGAGTAACAGAGGGATTGCAAGGGGACAAACTGCAATGAACAGAATTTACTAGTTTGTTTTATATAGTTACTGATGTGTGTGTGTATTATATTCACTATATATGTTCACTTAAATGTGTTTCCCTGTTCAGGAGTATCAGATGCCTGAGGAATATTATCCACTGGAACTTGATCACCACGTTCATCCTGAGGAATGTGATGTGGTTTCTGCTTCAAATGATAGATCACAACATCCACGAGAGCAATGAAGTGAGTGCTGGGAGGTGGCAGGGCCCTGCCCTGGAGTTTGGGGTGCTGAGTTTCTTTGTATAAATATTGCAAGGGACATTTATCCACGCCGTGCTTCCCTTCATTTCGATGTCAGCTGGGCACTCATCATCCTTGATTAGCTCTTCAAATGTAAGATTTGACATCTGAACTTCAGTCTCATGCTTTGGGAAAACAAATAGAGAAATCGTTAGTGCCCCCATAAAGAAGATGTCAATGCATAAATCTCTATTATTATTCATCCAGATGCTCCTTTGAGAAGATGTAAATTCTGTTAATTCAGTGTTTACTCTGTCTGTGTTTCTGACAGTCTGACACTCCAGAAGATGGAGTTTATGAGCTTTATGGTCAACAGTTTCATGCCGTGTGACTTGCTCTTATGATAATGCTGCAAATCTTTATTGAGATTTTCACATTTTATTAGGAAAAATCTCTTGGAGACAGGACTTAAATACCTCTTAAAATGTGAGCACAAAGTGACAATGAAAATAGAAACCTGCAAATATAAGGATGGATCACATGCCCCAGTTTTCATTAACTCATCTTTTCTCTGCAGCCTTTTTGGGAAAGGTGCTTTTATACAAGCTTGGTGATAACTTTGTTATGTGACTGTGAGATAAGGTAGTCAAAATAACATCACCAAAATGCAAGGGAACACCATTTATTCGAGCTATTGATATGATCAGTGGAGATTGAATAACAGATACAGAAGCATCAATGTGGAAATATTTTGCATTAAGTTTATAATGCTTACAAAAAAATCAGGAAGGGATTGGTGAAGTTATCTGGAGCCTAATGGTGGGTACATGTGGGGATCAAGAGCCCTCAGTCAAATAAAAAGGTGTGAACTAATGAGCTCTGCAATTTTGGTTTACTATTCAATATTAATAAATCCACAAAGGACTTGCTCAACATTCATTTTATCCTGGTCTCTTATAGAAGTCATGCAGGGGGAGATGTCACCACCATTGTTTGTATTTATCTATTTCTGTCCTTGAATCTTCCCAATCCACTGACCAGTTCCTCTTAGTTCTGACACAGGAAAAATTGACTTGGATATAATATAATTTATATTATATTATATTATATTATATTATATTATATTATATTATATTATATTATATTATATTATATTATATTATAT